ACTCATTGTTATTGAGGAGCATTCCTGATCCTGACTGATTCTTCCCCCAGGACATTTGTTTGCTATTTAAGACTCAGACTGGGATTTAATTACTGTTGGTTCAACTCTCCTATCCATATTGTGTCTGTGATTCCATACAACAGAACATTCTTGAGATTGACAACAGCTCTCCCAACTAGTACAAATTTATTCTAGATTCACAGGTAAAGGTAAAACACACTCATTAATCTGCCAATCTGACTTTGGCTTCCATATTCCAAGGGGGAAAATAAGCAGTATGAACTATAGAAACATTCTCATAGATACTTTGATTCCTGCTTTACCTTTTAAAAAATTCATAGCCTCTAAGTTGAGACAATCAACTTAAACAGAACATTCAGAAAATCCCCATCCACTCCAGACTGAAGCCTGATCTTCTGTCCCAGCCTCCCTCTGCTCAGCCTGGCTCCAAACCTTGGAGTGCTCTTTGGGTGATGGTCCTCTTTGGTTCCTGCTGGGTGGGTAATCCCTATTGTCCATATTATTTCTCACTGTCACCACCCTAGTTCTGGCTTCACAGTGCTCCTGCATTGTGCCAACTACTTTTCTACTGATTCTCCCTCTCCTAACCTCTTGCTGCTCTCCATTGGGCCTGCAGGACAATTAGTCCTCAGAAACGCTATAAAAATCCATGTCCTCCCTGCGTACTACAGCCTCAGTTAATCAGGTCGCCTTTCTGTCCCCTTACCTACCTATGTCCCATGCCTTGCCACTCCAGTTTCTTACCATCTCATGTACTCACTTCACTCAACCAATAATTACAGGGCTCTTAATATTTATTAAGTATTGTTCTAGATGCTAAGTATTGTTCAGAAGCTGGTGCTTGAATAGAGACCTGAAAGGATTGAGGGAACTAGTTCTGTGGATTGTTGGGATAAGAGTACTCTAGCTGAGGTATAAATGCAAAGGCCCTGAGCTCTGGGTGTACTGATGTGTTTGAGGAATATTGCAAAGGCTTGGGTAGGTTTCATAGAGTAAGTGAAGGGAAGAAAAACTGAGAAGGAAATAAGAAGGAGCTGGATCCAGATCAAGTAGGACCACGGGTGAAGTGAATGACCAGAGACCTCTTTAGAAGCTTATGAAAGGTAACATAATCTGCTTTATTATTATTATTATTTGTGTGTGTATGTGTGTATGTGTGTGTGTGTGTGTGTGTGTGTGTGTGGTTAACTTGGGATCTAATCCAGGGCCTTGTGCATGCTATACCTTCCCATACTCCATTTCCTAATTTAATACTACAAAGGGTAAAGGTGGAAGTGACAGGATTCCTCCAGGAGAGATGATGGTGACAGGTAGTGGTGGAGACTGTGGTAATCAAGAAAGATGGGTCTTTGTTGATAAGTAAGAGGAGGTGTGAAAACACAGAGAGTACAACTGTCCCTCGGTATCTGAGAAGATTGTTTCCAGGACCCCCAGGATACCAAAATTCTCAGATGCTCTTCCCAGAGGGACATTTGTTTTCTACTTAAGACTCAGATTGGAATTTTAAAAATATTTTAATTTTATCAATGTTTTGCCTACATGTATGTAAGTGCATCAAGTGCATACTTGGTGTCTGTGGGAGGCATGGGATCCCTTGGAACTGGAGTTAAGAATGGATGTTAATCACCCTGTGGGTGCTGGGAACAGAAACCAAGTCCTCTTGCAAGAGCAGCCTGTGCTTTTAATCACTGAGCCATCTCTCCAGCCCCGGATGACTGTTGGTTCAACTTTCCTATCTTATTTTATTAAACTCTTCTGTGATTTCATTTGTCAGAGGCAGTGGGCAAAGCCATGGACTTAAATGAGGTTAGTGTGGGACAGAAAGGAGGACCATGGGCAGAGCGCTTCTCCCTCCAGCCCTAACAGTGCTCTCTTCTGCTAGTTGTTTGTTTGTTTAGAGACATGGTCTACTATAACCCAGACTGGCCTTCAGCTGGGTATGTAGCCAGGATAATCTTGAATTGATCCTCTTGCTTCCACCTCCAGAGTGTTGGTATTACAGGCATGTACAACCATGCCCAGTTTATGTGGTGCTGGGGTTCAAATGTAGGGCTTCATGCATTTTAGAAAAGCACTCTTCTGTGGGCTGGAGAGATGGCTCAGTGGTTGAGAGCACTGACTCCTCTTGCAGAGGACCTAGGGTCGAATCCTAACACTCACATAGCAGCTAACAACCATGCTTAATTCTAGCTCTAGCGGATCTGATGCCTCCTTCTGACCTTCGTGGGCATTGCATGACTTGGGTGTACTTACAACATTCAGACGGTATACTCATACACATAAAATGAAAATGATAATGAAATATTTTTTATAAAAAAGAAAAGTACTCGTCTAACTAGGCCATTTCCCCATCCCTTCTGTATCATCTTTTAAAAATCTTTTAAATGCTGGGTGTAGTGAGCACACCTTTAGTCCCAACTCTCCGGAGGCAGAGGCAAGTGGATCTCTGTGAGATTGAGGTCACCCTGGTCCACATCCTGACTTCCAGGTGGGCTGGGACCAGAGGAAAAAACAAATAAGCAAACAAAAAATCTTTTAACTTGCTCTATTTATTTTTTTATTACATTTATTTATTTTGTGTATATGTGTGCACATGTATGATGTGTATGTGTGAGTGCAGGTGTGCATGCCATGGAGCACTTGTGGAAGCCAGAGGACAACTTGCAGAAGTTGGCTTTCTCTGACTGTGTGCAACTCAGTGATTGGATTCAGAACATTAGGCTTGGCAGCATGCACCTTCGCCCACTGAGCCATCTTGCTGTCCCTTTTATTTATTTCTTTTTCTTTTTTTCTTTTATTATTTTTATTTTATGTGTACAAGTATATTGCCTGCATGTATGTGAGTGCACCCATGTCATGTAATGCCACGGAGGTCAGAAGAGGGCTTCAGATTTGCGGGGGTCTCTCCCTCTCTTTGCGGGTCATTGGCCACTGGTCCACGAGGGCAGGGGGAGCAAGAGCAGCGAACAGAGTCAGGACGACCAGTGAGCACTGACGGAAGAAAGCCCTTCCGGGGAGGCTGGTTCCACAGCGCAGTGAAACAGCAATGATACAGCTCCAGACTCAGTGAAACAGCTCTGTTTATTCAGTGGGAGAACTAGAGAAATTATAGTGTGGAGGCAGTAGCCAAAGCCTCAGCTGATAGGTGCTCATAGTATGCTTTATTTACATGTGGTAGTGGGCTCCTATCGTCCAACTATCAGGCAATGCCTGATTATCATATAGAAAAAACCTGGGGGTAGTTTTTACTCCAGGTAACTATGCCAAAGGTCATGTTCCAAATAAGGTCAGGCATCCGTGCATGGTGGCACTTTCCAGGTAAGCCAGGAAGAGAGCAGGAGGCCCCCTGCTGAAAAGGGGAGTCCTTCCATTTGGTGCCGAGCCCCTTAGGGCTATCCGGACATGGAGAACTACAACCCTAACAGCAGGGTTTCCCAACACAGATTCCCCTGGAACTGGAGTTAAGGATAGCTCATAGCTGCCATGTGGGAGCTGAGAATCGAACCCAGGTCCTGTGCAAGAGCAGTCAGTGCTCTTAGCTGCTGAGCCATCTGTCCAGCTCCTATTTATTTTTCTTCCTTTCTTTCTTCCTTTCTGTTCTTTTTTGTTTTGTTTTGTTTTTGGTCTTTTTTGAGACAGCATTGCCCTGTAGCCCCAGCTGCCCTGGAACTCAATATGTAGACCAGGCTGACGTTGATCTGACAGTGATCCTCCTGTCTTGGCTTCCCAAATACTGGAATTAAAAACATGCACCATCATGCCCAGCTTTTATTATTTAGTTTTTGAGATGAGATCTCCCTGTTGCTTGCCAGTTGAACTTGACCTCCTAGGATCAAGAAATCCTCCTGCCTCAGCCTTCAAAATAACTGAAGCTATAGATGTGGACTGCTGTACCTGACCTCTGTCAACTTAATTCTTACTTAAATTTCACCCATCCCTCAACCTGGGGAGATCACTTATCCTCCCAGGAAGGTGTCTCCTGATGTAACCCCAGCACCTGTTTCTGTTCTATGTGCCTTCTCTAAGTGCCAGTGCTGGTTTTAATGCTTCTTTTGGCTTCCCTCACTTGTGCACTTCTCAGTAAAATACTCTGGTGTCAAATGTCTCTGCTATTAGGGCAGGCAGTGAAGGATCTACTACTAGTGGATCTACTTGCACAAAACTTGGTAGAATGAGTAGAACTAAATCATTAAGTGCTAATTAATATGGATGTGCCTTGGAGGTCAAAGACAGGCAGTTTAGTACTTGGCTATCATGATTCTTGTTCGCCATCATTTTCTAATCCACCCCTCAGCTCTTCTCCTGATCCCTGATCCCCTTCAGAGACCATATCCCTTGTTGGTGGTCATCCCTAATATTATCTCTGTGCTAATCTTAGACTAAGGACAGTTTCGGCCAGTGTCCAGCCCTTACTCCTTTACTCTCCCCTTGCAGTGAGCCCCTATCCCAAGCAACCCTCAGGAATCCAGCATGCCCTATAACATCCACACCCTTTTCCCTTCCTCTCCTCACCCAGGCTTCCCAAGCCAACTGTGTACCCCAGGAGAGCTCGTGAAGTACCTCACTGCAATCATCTTCAACTGCTCTGCCCAGCATGCTGCTGTCAATAGTGGGCAGGTTAGGCTTTGGAGGGCAAGCCAAGCCACTGGAGGGCAGGCCTAAGGGCACTGGGGCACCCAAAGTGTTAGGTTCCAAAGATGTATTAGGCTTGGCAGTGGACTTGAGGTCAGAGTTCTGGTTGAGAGCATGGGTGGGTCAGGGTTAGGGTGGATTTATGATCAGCTTTGGGGCTGGAGTGGTGACTGGGTGGAGTAAAGGGCTGGTGTTGAATGATGGCTGGGTGGGTCTGTATCCAAAGTTACAATGGAGACTTAAGATGGAATTATACTGGGAGTAGAACTTGTCCTTGGTAAGAACTGGCTACATAGAATATCAAGTTGCTCCATGAGCCATGCCAGCCCAAGGCCTTTTTCTAGGATTACCTCCCCTTTGGGTTCTCCTCCCTCCTTGGTGACTCATTCTACTCAGTCTTGGAATGCTGGGTGGAGAATGACAAGGGGTTAGCTGGGCTTATGCTCCACTTCTGGAACTTTCTATAGGCCCCTCATTTACGAACTTCGAGATCTGGGATGGTGGAGGTGGGATCAGGAATGACAAAGAGGATGCTTGTGGCCGAGGACCCTTGGCCAACTCATCCAACTGGGGCTGGGGTCTCCACAGCATGACTTTGGGGCCTGGATGCCCAATGCCCCATCATCCATGAGGCAGCCTCCACCTCAGACCAAGGGGATCACAACAATGAAGAGTTACCTAGACACCCTTCCAGAAGTGAACGTCACCTGTAACAACCTTCTCCTCTTCTGGTTAGTCAGCCAAGAGCCGAAAGACCAGGTGGGTACATGGAGATGTGGGGATAGAGGTTGGGCAGTGCAGGGCCAGTAAAGTGGTTATTCCAGGGAAGGAGAGGGCTGGTGGCTAACTGCTTGGAAGTATGCCCAGTGCCCAACTGCCTTGAGTTCTTTAGCTTCCACAGGAAATACTTGATCTCCAAAAGACACACATTGAAACAAATATCAGTTTAGTGTCTACCTTACAACTTCTATGTAATTTTTTTTGTGTGTTTTTGAAACAGGGTCTCCCTGTAGCCCCAGCTGGCCTGGAGCTCACTATGTAGACCAGGCTGGCCTTGAACTCACAGAAATCCGCCTGCCTCTGCCTCCCAAGTGGCTGGGACTACAGGCATGTGCCACCATGTCCAGCAACTTCTATGTAATTTACAAGTTATCTATCCATCTATCCAATCATGTATTCATCCACAAATCACTCATGAATTCACCCAAGCATTGAACATTATGGGGTACCTCCATGTGTCAGCAGAATGCTGGATACCAGATATATAAAGTTTAGTGAGATTGTTCTGCCTTCCTGAAGCCTTCATGAGATAGACAGGCAAATGAAAAGGGACACCAGAGTGCTGTAGGAAGTACTCGTATATTAATTCTCATTCAACACCACTTCTTGAGCACCCATGGTATCCAGACATTGTTGGGAAGCTGGGAACATTGTCCATGAATTTGCAGTATCGGGACAGAGGTAAGGGTCTTATGGAACTTAAATGTGTCTGGGAGAACCTAAGAAAGTGTCATGGAAGAAATGACATACAAGCTAAAACCTGTGGGACAAGTAGGAGTTTGGCAGATGGGAAGGGCAGGGTTGGTTTCTAGACAGAGAGAAGGACACCCAGGGGTGGGAGAGTCCTCCAGTGTGTTTGTAGGATCAGATCACTGGGGTGCAGTGCAGTGACATGGCAGGGTAGGGTGGAGAGGAAGGTAGGACTTTGAATAGTATTTCTTCAGAGGATAATAGAGCCACTCAAGGATTTGAAACCAGAGGTGACATGGCTTAATTTGTTTCAACAAGGGTGCTCCAGGTGGCTGTGTCAATGGTGAGAGGGACAGGTTTGGAGAGAGGAGATGGGGCAGTTGGGTAGTTTAGATCAAAGTGAGCAGCCCTTGAATCACCAGTTACTATCATGGCTATTCACTTGGAATTATCAGTCATGCCACTCTGCCTTCCTGATAGTTCCTCCAAGTCAGGTTCTCATGTCATCTGTGAACACCCTCATTTTTCATGACTGACTCGGTTTGATACTAGAAAGATTGCAGATGTTTAACCTCTCAAGCAAGTCTTTCTTTTAAAAAGGTGTTTTATTTTTGTGACGTTTCTCTATATATTGCCCAAGTTGGCCTTGAATTCCTGGACTCAAGCCATCCTCCTGTCTTAGCCTCCAGAGAAGCAACAACTGTAGGCATGTAGCACAGTGCCTGGCTTAGATATGTTTGTGTGTGTGCTATGGGTTGAACCCAGGGCCTTGAGCATGCTAGGCAAGAGTGTAGCAATGAGCTGTATCTCCAGCTCTTCCTAACACATTTTAAAAATTTATTTATGGGGTGGGATGCATTTGTAGAGGTCAGAGGACAACTTGTGGGAGTCGGTTCTCTCCTACTACCGAGGTCAAATTGAGGTCATTCCACTTGGCTGCAAGCTTCGTTACCCACTGAACCATCTCTCAGACTATTTCCTAGAGTTTTAACTTACCATCTTATACTTTGAGGAACTGTGGGAACTTGTTCTTATCCCTATCCCCTATAGTTCCCAGAGGAATGAGTAAGCAAGAGGATGATTGTGGAGGGTTCCTTCTGCATAAGCCAGAGAAATTTACAGCAATAGCCATAGTAGCTGTCAATTACTGAGGATCCATCCTGTCTCAGTCATTAAATCAGATATAAGTACCTTAAAATACAAAACAAATAAGTAGTTATATTTAAGATGCCTGGTATAGTGCTGGCATGTAAGTGTTCAATAACATCTATAGGGGAGAAAACTGAGGTTCATAGAGTTCAAGCAGGTTGCTCAGCTCCCATAGTGAGGAAGCATGTGCTGGTTGTGAATTCAGTCTGCCATGTTTCTGTGTTCTACTTTTTTCATGATTATATTGTAGCATTAGAAATTAGGTATGAATATGGGAAATGAGACATAAAACTGTCTCTGTAAGACAGTCAATGGTAAGCCAGATGTGCTGGCTCACACCTGTAATCCCAGTATTTGTGAGGCTGAGGCAAGAAGATTGCTGCAAGTTTGAGGCCAGTCTGAGCTACAGTGTGAGACTCTGTCTCAAAAATAATCCAAAAAAAGGGAGATATTAACATTTTAAAGATACTATAGCAATTCCAATCAAGAAAAAGGAAAGAACATAAATATGCATTAGTAATAGGAAAGGACAGATACACAGAGAAATTATTTTAATTGTAAGAAAATACTATTTACAGTTTTATGAAAAAAAAATGGAAACTTGGATGAAATGAATGGTTTTCTAAGAAAGCATAAGCCACTGAACTTTGAAAGAGATGCAGATCGTGCATAAGGGGTAGGAATGACAACACATGCTTGTAACCACCCAGAGTCACAAGTTTCAGGCAAGCCTGGATATCACAACAAGACCCTGTCCAAAGAGGAGGAAGAGGAGTAGGAGAGAAAGCAAGTCCCAAACCTATATAAATGTAAAAGATCCAATCCCTCAAACCTTCAGGAAACAAAGAAATCCTATGTCTTTCAAACATCTTGAAAGCACAGAAAATGGCAGAAGCTTCCTGAATCACTCACTGGATTATAGAACTTGGATTTCAGAGCTAGCAAAGGCAGTGATTTTTTTAAAGAGGGAGGTGGATCTCATTAGAGGGCTCCAGTCCTGGATTCACACTTAACACTTTTGTGACCTCTCTAATTTGGTCTCTCTAAGCCTCAATTTCCTTATCTATAAAGAGGGACTGATAAAAGAACCTGCCTTAAGGGTTGTTGTATGGTTCATGTAAAGTGCTTGCATGTTAGCTGTTATTAAGAAAATGAAATTATAAACTCCTCCACTTAGTTACAACAATCTTAAAAGTATATCAGTCAATAAAGGTCAGGAGTGGATAGTAAACAATAATGTGCAACAACAGGGTCTAGTTTACTCTAAGAATGAAAGGATGGTTCACCTTATGAAATCCAGCAATATCATCTGGTACATCAATACAGAAGCATACTGTATAATTAACGCAGCATATGTGGTAAAAGCTCTTGATCAGCGTGAACAGCCATTACTAATAAAAGCTCAGTTTCAAATAAAACCCCCCGAAGGATTTTTGATTAAAGTATATCTTTAAAAAACACTGTATTTATGGGGAGATAGTAGATGTCTTCACATTAAAATCAGGAGCAAGAAAATAAGGCCCACTATTACTGCTGCTATTTAACACTAGTTTGAAGGGCTTTACCAATGCAATCAAACAAGAAAAAGGAACTTTTAGCACTGTTAAAACACTGTATGAAGGTTGTATTAGATGGGCGACTGTGCTGGTTAGGAAACCCGGCCTGAGCATTGTAATGGTAGCTGTGGTGTGATGTGATCACGAAAGGGTGTGGGGGGCCATCCTGTATACAGGATAGCACTGATTGAAGTTCTTTGTGACATTTCTTGATTTTGGTGGCCATGTTGCAAAGTGTGACAATGTTGCAGTGATAGTGATTGTATTGGCAAAAGTTCTATCATGTCGGATGAGTGTAAAGGTATCGCAGAACCAGGTTGCTGGGTTTCCTTAGGGGTTGGGTTTTGTAAAATTATTCGATAACAGGTCTATTCTTGGACCTACTTTCTGGAATATGTCTATGTTAATCTCTATTGAATGTGATGGTGTTCTTTTAGTTCAAAGAGTGGATGGGGCACTTGAACTTCTTGAACTTGTTCAAATCCATCCACCTTCAGATGTAGGAATCCTTTCAAAGCAAGAGTAATGTGAAAAAAGTTGCCAGCAGAGGGAGCACCAAAGCAGGATGGCTGGCTTCCAAGTCAGGGGCTGTGTTCCACCCACACTGTGGGCTTCAGGTTTTGGGGGGCTGTTCTGAATCAAGGTGCAGTGGAGTGATGATTAGGGGCTTTGATTGGAAGGTTCGTGTTTTCAATATGGCAGTAACTGAGTCGTGTTTTTAGAAAACACCTGACTGCATTTGTTGACATGTGATCATTATTCTCCATCTCATCTTGAACATCTTTCTAATACCTCAACTCATTTTCTCCTAGAGGCCCCTGGGCACCTACCCAGATGAACACTTCACAGAGGAGGCCCCACAGCAGAGTATTGCAGCCTTCCAGAACTGCCTGGCTCAGATCTCAAGGGACATCAGAGAACGGAACCAGAGCCTGCCATTGCCCTATGCCTACTTGGACCCTCCCCTTATTGAGAACAGTGTCTCCATCTAAGCCCTATTCACACCACCCCAGGGTAAAGAAAGGTCCAGCTAGGGGGGAAGGCCACCTTCCTAGGGTCTTCCAGACCCTCCATCCTCCCTCTTCTCAGCTTGAACCTTCTCTGCACATGGGGATCAAGATGGCTTTAAGACTGTATGAATGGGCCCTGGGTTTTGAGAGACCAGTACAGCAACGTTCAGGGTGAAAGCCGCTGATTAAAGTCAAGTGCACAATAATCCCCTTGAAAAGAGAGGAACTCCTGTACCTTTTGTCATACTTTGGACATCCTCTTGTGCCAGCCTCATGTAGGAATCTCCCTCCCCAAAGTGGGATACTCAGCTTGAGTTTTGAGGTCTCCTGCCCAGTTCTCCTCAAACTCACACTGTCTCCTGTGATAACTTTTTGATTCCCCCCTTTCCTCCAAGCCCAAGACCCCAAATCCAGTCTCCTTTTTTGAAGGGGTCTTGAAATTGGGAAAGGAAAGAGTATGTGCCTGAATCTGGCATGTAGTCTGCTATGCTTTTAAAGGGAGGGGAAGAATCTGAGCCCAGTTGACCTGGATGTCTAGCTGTGGTTCTTGCGGACACGAACTCTGGCTTGGTCGTGTGTAGGATCTTTCTCCAGCTCTCCTCCTGCCTGCTCTCATTCTATTTTGATTTTTGTCTTTGAGCTCAATGACTTTAATAAAAGCTAACATATTTGGCATCCATCTCATTTTTGTTTTGACAATAATGATGATGTGTGTATGGGGTCGTCAGTGTAGAAGTGCTGGAGTGGGGAGCAAGAATGAATCCATGGGTTATGTGTTCTGATGACAGGAACTTTTCCAGCTCAACCTATCACCCAACTGGCCCCCATATTCCTATCTTTACCTCCTAGAATGAGTCACCAGGAATGGAAGGAATAGCCAGACCCAAGGGACTGATAGGAAGATACTAGGCATTTTACAAAGCCTCAGAATCCAGCTTCTGGGTGTGGTAGCCATTAGTGGCACCAATGAAATCCAGTTCTGCTCCTGGACATGTGGAAGACTCACCCCTGGTTCTCTGTACATGGGTGGTGTCAAATATAGAACTTGGGTCTGAGTTACCTGCAGAGGTGATGTGATCATCTCCAGACTGGTGTGAAGACCACCCAGTGTACTCTGCCTCTCCACACTGGAAGCTTGTGTTGTGATGATGCACTCAGTAGTCTGTTCATCTAAGGGAGTTGAACAGAGGCCCTGCTGATTGAATTGGATGCATATGAAACTGCTGAAATTTTGGATTTGTTTCTTATTATGGCATAATATAGCCTCCCTTGACTGAATGGGTAAATCTGAGCTTTTCTCCCTTGCAGTCACACAGCCCTTAAAAACAAAGATTTGTAGCTGGGTGTGATGGCACATGCTTTTTTAAAAAAATATTTTACTTATTTTTTCTGTTTTGAGACAGGGTTTCCATGTAGCCCCAGCTGTCCTGGAACTCACTAGGTAGACCAGGCTGCCTTGAACTCACAGAGATCTGCCTGCCTCTGCCTCCCAAGTGTTGGAATTAAAGGCATACACCACCATGACTGGCCTATTTATATAATTTTTTTTACATGTATGAGTGTATTGCCTGTCTGTGTAAGTGTACCCATGTCCTGCAGTGCTTGCAGAGATCAGGAGAAGGAGGTCAGTTTCCCTGGAACAGGAGTTATAGTTGTTAGCTGTCATGTGGGTGCTGGGAATCGAACCCAGATCTTCTGCAAGAGCAGCCAGTGCTCTTAATTGCTGAGCCATCTCTCCAGCACATGCTTTTAATCACAGTACTTGGAAGGCAGAGGCAGATAGATCTCTGTGAGTCTGAGGCCAGCCTGGTCTACATAGTGAGTTCCAGACCAAGCAAGGCTAAGCAGTAAGACTCTGTCTCAAAAAAATAAGCAAATATCTGTGTAACTCAATCAAGTATTTCTCTTCACGGATGCTCAGCATATTCCCAATTTACTGCTTTGCCAGACTCAGACCCAGCCTGCCTTACCTTCTAGCGTTATCCTTTCTTCTCTCTCTCTTTTCTTTCTTTCTTTCTTTCTTTTTTTCTTTCTTTCTTTCTTTCTTTCTTTCTTTCTTTAAAATGCGGATTTTCAAAATGACTGCACTAATTGACACCCTCACCAACAGTATAAGCTTTGTTTGAGACAGGGTCTCCCTGCGGCCCCAGCTGGCCTGGAACTCATTATGTAGACCAGGCTGGCATGGATCTCGCAGAGATCCACCTGCCTCTACCTCCTGAGTGCTGGGATGAAAGGTGTGCACCACCATGCCTGGCCTTCTCTTCTCATTCCCTCCTCCTTCTCCTCCTCTTCCTCTCCCTCCTCCTCCTCCTCCCCTTCCTCCCCTTCCTCCTCTCTCCTCCTCCTCCTCCTCCTCCTCCTCTTTTTCTCTCTTCTCTCTCTCGACAGTGTCTTACTATGTAGCCTAGCTGACCTCAAACTTGCAATCCTCCTGTATCAGCTTCCCAAGTTCTGGCGTGTGGTCTGCTTTGCTCCTAGCACCTTTAAGGAGAGGGGAAGGCATGCACCACCACATCCAACTCTCCCCTGCCACCTGAGTCAGATTCTTTGTGTGTGTGTGTGTGTGTGTGTGTGTGTGTGTGTGTGTGTGTTCTAGAGGATTGTCTCTTCCTACATCAATGATTTCAAAGGAAGGAAATCCTTATGCCATTGTGTATGCAGGCGTATGTTTGAGGATATCTCAGCCAAAGATTCCAGCAAGTTAGTCAAAATTGCCAGGTTTTGTTTGCCTTAGGACTAAGAAATCCTGGGGGCCCCCTCTTGTGGCCAGCTGGGCTATCATCAGGGTGGGAAATGGGAACCCCCCCCCTTAACTATGACCTTGATCAGGTCACTGTACAAGTGACCTGTAAGCCTCAAAAGAGGAAGCGCACTCCTTGTCCTGCACAGTCTCCGTTAGAAAGGATGGAATAGCTATCCTGAAAAATACTCTGGAGCAGGAGAGGGAGGGACCAGGTGGATCACTGAAATCTGGTTTCCCAGAAAGCCGACTTGGAGGGAGATTTATTTGGAAGGCACACCCAATGAAGGGAGGACTTCTGCCCTGACTCTGGACACGTTTGGAGATGGAATGTAGGGTAGAGGCTCAGCCCCATGCTGGAGCCCGGTCTCATGGAGTTCTTTCAGCATGCAGGCTGGACCCCTCCATACTTTTCCGTCAGTCAAGAAGGCTAACTTTCATATGGCACAATAAGACGTATGCCTATCTCTTCCTTGCTGGCCTTGAACAAGTTCCCTCATCTCAGTGGCCCAAATCTGTCAGAGAAATCCTAGAAAGTCCCTTCCTAAATTGACATTTTAGGATCTGTTTGACTCATGGCTCTGTCTCCCTATGTCTGTTCTCAACTTCAGGGAAGTAGCTGTAAATTCCCTAGGTTGACTCCTGCTTCCTGACAGACAAAAAAACATACCATTGGACACTTCAACAGAGGAGTCCTTTCAGATGGTGGCAAATGCAGTCCGAGATGCAACCAGATGGCATGCACTGGTGTGACTGGAAGGGAGGCATTAGGTGTGGTGGCCAGAGACAGTCTCTCCAGGAGGTGACACTGGAGTTGAGACCTAGATGGAAGGACAGAACACTTCAGAAACAGCTTTGATGGAGATGCTACAATCAGGACAGGGTAAGTTCAAGGGTACATCTTCCAGGAACATAAAGGAGACTAAAGTCACTTGAATGAGGTGTTGGATCATACATGGTCCCCTATCTATGCTTGGTCTTTGGATTTGATTCTAAGAATGATGCTGTGCTTTTTAAGCAAGGGAGTAATCTGATTTGACTTTGTCCCAGGGGAGCAGGATCCCAGGGGTTGTTCCTTGCTTTTTAGGGCTTAGGGTGTGGCAAGTAAGGGGTGCCCCAGCAGTGAAGAGCTGGCTCCCAGTGTGGGTAGGTGTCATGAGCCACCCCTGCAAGTGTGCATCTGTCCCAGGCCTCTCATGTTCTCTGGGTCCCACCCCTGGTCCAGGAGAACCAGTTCTTCAGTGAGTACCTACTCAGAGTTATGCATCCAAGTTTGGGTCACAACTGGGGAGTGACCATCTGCATCCGTGTGCCTAATCCCATCCAAGTTCCCAGACCTAGCCCTTGCCTCTCTCACATCCCTACCACACCTACTTCTACCTCTTTTTCCCTAAGGGGCTTAAGTCCCACAAGAGGCTTGAAGCCTGATCAAACCCAAAGCTGCTTAACTTTTGGGAGAAATGGGTTGGCTTTAGGGGAGACCTATTGCTACAGGGTCATGATTAGGGAGACAGATTTTTAGGGGTGGAAAGAGTTCCCTCCATATGCAGTCACTTCCATCCCCTTCTGTACCTCAATCCCATTCTCTGTGTCCTCCAAGCCCTCTCCTATCCAGTCCTCCAGGATGCCTACGAGCCCTTACCTCCTCACCCCCACACAATGTTCTTACTACTGGATTAGAAGGATTAGAAGGTTAAGGCTGGGTCTCTTGCCCTCAATGCCTCAGGACCTGGCCACCTTCAAGGGGCCAGTGGTGCTGTTTCTCAAGTCCCTAAGTCTCAATTTACCCCTTCCACCACCCTCATTAGCAGCCCCCTGGAGGCACAGTCTCCAGGGCAGGGGAGTGGCTAGAATCAGGAGGCGTAGAAAGTTTACATGGAATTTGCATCAAATTTGAATATTCAGGTTCTCAGTATTCCCCCAAGAGTCATCAAGGTGCACAGGAGGAGCAGAGCACAGGAAGGCGGGCCTGACCAGCCTGACAGCTCCTGCCCTCAGCCTAGGATGGCATTGTGCCTAGGGGAATGAGACAGCCTGCCAGTCACCCAGAGATTGGGTCATGGCCTTCTTCCTCAGCATTCCTTCCTTCTCTTTAACCCATTCCCTGCCTCCATCGCTCCCTCCACCACTCTTAGCCCAGCCCCGACTTTGTTCTTATTAGTAGCCCACCTAAACATTAAGAATCATGTTTCAAGAGTCTCACTGTTACCAGGTACTATGGCAGGCGATGGGAAGACACCAAGCCAAATTATGGGCTGTGTAATAAAAAGGGAAACTGGACATAAATAAAAGATGTTAGCTATGGTGTTATAAGAGTCTTCCAGAATTAAATTTAGTCTTCCTTACAAAAGTAAAAAAAAAAAAAA